CATGATAAATGTATCAACCTATCAATAAGTAAACCCACAGCTGGTGTCATCGTTTTTGAGCGTAACAATAGCAATATACACAATAAGCGCAATAATAACAGCATATATATATAAATATACATAGGAAATATTTATTCTATCCTGAGATTAAATACAGAAAAGATGTTCTTTCGAAAATTTTGTAGTACTTCGATCAAAAGGTAATGAATCTCTTCCATTTACACTACGTGGGCTTATACGGTGCAAGGATGTTTGAGTAAGCTTGTGCGTGTGTATGCAACACCCGGAAAGACTTGTGATAGACTTTTCTTTCATTATACCAATCGATGCACAATCGTTTTCTGAATTATTTTAAGCTTGTCTGTCCGTCCGTCTGTTCGATTTATGTGCTTGCATTCAAGGTACAACTTGCAATTTTTGAGATATTCTGATGAAATTGATATACTTCCTTGTTTTGGCCCAAGGACGAGGACTATTGAAAATATTCCGGATTCGGCCGTTTTTTCAACCACTTTCCATATAACGATCTTTTAATATAAGGCGCATAATTGTAAGATAGTGTAGATTATTTAATAGTGGGCCGTGGTCCACTATAGAGCTTTTACTTATTTCTTCTTTTTTTTTTAAACTGGCAGTACTGGAACTGGTATCCGTCGTTAATTTCATGTCAATATCTTCAATTAGATGCGCTTGCTTATTTTCAATGCAATTCGAATTAATTTGTTCAGTCCAGTGACAATGATGATTACCAAGCAAATTCGTTGAGTTTCAAGAATAGACAGAGGCTAAAGGGAGCTAAATTAAATAAATAAAACTGTCTTGAACAAGCAAATGCAGTGTCGAATCATTTTGATTGAAAAATCAAGAGTTATGCATGATAGTGGATAAAATCAGCCACGGCTACTCAATAGTATATAGCATGGAAATTAATATTCTTTCATTTTCTCTTTCAGGCCATGTAAACATTCCGAATATAATTTTTTTTACTTATTAATAATGCGTTTGACACTATTTTTCATGGTACCTTTAATGAAGTTATCGATGATACTTTGAATGTAATTTTTGATGATATTTTTGATGATATAATTGTTGCTACATTTGATGCTATTTTTAATAGCGCTTTGATCATATTTTTGATGATATTTTTTATAATACAATTGTTGCTACTTTTGATGATATTTTTCGTGCTTTGATGCTATTTTTAATAGCGCTTTGAGCACATTTTTGATGATATTTTTTATAATACAATTCTTGCTACTTTTGATGATATTTTTCGTACTTTGATGCTATTTTTAATAGCGCTTTGATCATATTTTTGATGATATTTTTGATTTTGATATTATTGCGGCCATTCTCATACTATTTTTAATTAAGTTTTCGATGACATTTTGATTATATTTCCGATGATAAGCTTTGATAGTATTTTTGATGATATTTTTTATGAGAGTTTTCAAAGTCTTTTAATTAATTCGTTAATATGTATGATATTTTTAACAATATAGTTGACGATATTCTTCCTATGTTTGATAAAATATTCGATGATATATTGAAAATGAATGATGTTTTGCCCCTTTTGATAATATTTTTCATGCTACATTCGACAAAATTTCTGATGTTATTTTTAATAGCTGTTAATGATATTTTTGGTAACATTATTGTTGCTATTTTTTATGACATTTTTAATTAAAGTGATCGTTGACATTTTTAATTATCTTCTGATTATATTTTTGATGATATATTTAATTACAGTTTTAGTGCTATTTTGTTTTGTTGCGTATATTTTATTGTTTTTTAAATATATACACATATATTTTTAATGGTATTGCTATTATTTATTGCGCTATTTTTGATTAACTTTTCGATGATAATTTCGATGATATTTTTGACGACTTAGTGATCACGTTTATGTTTACGATGATATATTTCAATGGTTATTTTGATAATTTTTTGATGATATTTTCGATAATCTTTTGAGAAGACTATCGATGGGTGTAATATTTTTGATGATATATTTAATGCTAATTTTTATGAGATATTTTATAAATTGACAAAATACTTGAAGCAATTTTAAACATTATATTAGATGACGTTTTTATAATATTTTTGGACATATTTAATATTTTTGAAATATACTTTGATGAATTTTTGAGGCGGGTTAAAATATAATGAGAAAAACTAAGAGTCATACTAACCTGCGGACCCAAAAAAAAACTTGCTAACGTAGATTGAGAATACATAGGCTTAATGCATATATATCTGCAAGTTATAAATATTTCTAAAACCAAATATAATGCCTATAGTTCATTTAGTGCATATATCATATTTATGAGTATTACTACAACTTAAATTTTTTTTTGTTTTGAAAAGACTTTTCAAGTATATAAATAAAGCTAATGTCAATTGAATAACAGATGTAAAGAGACAGCCGCTGCAAGACAATAAAATTGCTTAAGCCGCCATTTAAAGTGACTGATTTCCGACTACACCAACGAGCTGTTCATGAGTAAAACAAATTGCAAATGCGCCAACATCTTCATTATTAAGTTTTTTATGTTTATTTCAGGTTCACATATTTATTTCTTATAATAATAATATTTAACATACTCATTAGCTCAAATGAATCAGTCAACAATGTAATTTGCTGCTGACTTGAATACTATACCAATAAAAAAATCAATATTTAGCTTAAGGCGAATCTAAGACCACCCGCCACTTAAAACAAATACACGAAGTCGTTTAGTGCTGTTTGGTCATATATTTAACTGCATTACAGCAACGATTAAGGCCGAGGTTACTCCAGTTTTTTAACTAAGATCGAATAGTTGACGTACGGGTAGACACTGTCTCTATAAAGGTTTATGAAGAGTAACTCGTAGAAGAAGAAGAAGAATATGCAACTTTTTCCAATTGTCCATTTTATTTCTTTTGTTTGCAATGAGAGTTCTAACAACAAGTAGACAGATCGTTAGATGGTCTCTTGTATAAGATATTTTTGGGCAAAATAGATGAGACAATTAGTCTCTAATCTTATACCAAGTTAGAGTAAACAATTGTATATATAGAAGAACAACAGGTTCGTTGTTTAAGTTTTTTGTTTTACTACAAAGTAATTCTTACGCTATGGTGTTGTTGACTTTAACACAAGTTGACTTTGAATACAAAAATGTCAAAACACTACTTAATACATGAATGCACTATGTATGTGTGTGTGTTTATATAGACATGTGTATAAATAAGATTAAAATCTCTCAAAGTTTTTATTAATATCTTTGTGTAATATTTTTCGAAACTGTAGCTAAGTAATGTGTAAGGAAGCTACGTTTGCTTTGAAACGAGTTCCATTTACAAAAACTAAAGTACTAAAATAGTTTTTGAAAATAAAAGTCGTAGATTTTAATACATTTTCATAAGTAATATAAACTAAATTTAAAAAAAGTTACATTTGACTTCGAGCCACTCAACATCTGACCTGCAGAATATATCAGGACGTGTCAATTGATCGATAAGAAATAATAGGAAATTATGATCAAGCAAATACACAGATAGGCAGTAAGACGCATGGGCGGATGAACAGAAAGACACAAGCTGACAAGCTTCAGGATAAAGAGGGTTTCTAAACGCCACAATTAGTAGCACCGCGAATTTTCTTTTAGTGTATATTTCAATTATTAAAAACATATACATATATATATATACATATATACATTTCTATTATTAAAAACAACTGTACCTACTTAACTATTGAAGATGGTGGCGTGAAATTGAAGGCGGTCTAAAAAAGAAATAAGTTACAAAAATATAGTGGTCTATGGCCGACCATTAGATACCTTACAATTCCAAACAGTTGCTCATTTAACGACAATCTAATGTAAGGAGTTGCATGGAAAGTGGTCGAAATTGTTATGAACCATGTACAATAGCGTTGACTCTGTGAACAAAACATATCGGTACACCAACAACTACTGGCTGAGGATTGAATACAAGCATGCTAAGCAAGTGAACAGACAAACGAACAAGCTTAAATTGATTCAGGAAGTCATTCTGAATCGACCGCCACAAAATAAAACTTGCTACAAAACTTTTTGGAAACCATATGCTGGCCTAATTTGAAAAGCAAAAAAAGTTTTGTGTTTTGGTAAAACAAAAAAAAAAAAAACAAAAAATCTTTGTAGAATTAAGTAAAAGCTCACAGACGCAGTTATACGACAGGCCGCCACCAACAATGCTTATTGTATTTTAATTAAATAAAATTCTCATATTCAAAGCAAAGAGAAGCAAGGAAAAAAAAAAAAAAAAACAAATAAGAAAATTAAAATCTATCCGAAAATAAAAAAAAAATAAAAACAAAAACTTAAAAAACAGGTAAAGAAAGAAACAATAAATTGAATGCATATCAAAAGTCTGCTCACAATATAAAATTAAGTAATCTATGCAGATACACATCAACGAACATCAGCGAATAACCGCAAAGCAAACTCATATGTATCTATATATGTATGGTAAAGAAGAGAAACACTTGAAGGAAAATTGTTAAGCCAAAGAAAGCAAAAGTTGAAATCAAGCAAACCGAACTTTATACGTGCACGTTACAATGCACGAAACGAAAACCCAATGACACAAAGACACTCTTTTTTTAATAGTAAAATAAGAAAACAAAACAAAAAGCCAAAAGCAAAAGAAAACCAACAACGCATGCGTGTCTTTAAATCTTCAACCCAGCAAGCGATTAAATCGC